TTTCTTTGGGTCAGCAAATGCGTTTGGCATGCTTTGCAATATATTGCAAATGAATTATCTTTTTATGAACTTCAAGTTCATATTATCTTATTCGAGGATCGAGATGTATAAATAATAATTCATTCCATGTAACTTTTTCTCAACTGTTTATCATGTCTCCCCCTCATGTTAGAAAAACTAACTTGTTTCCTCAAGTTTGAGAACCCATCTTTGTGCGTTATGGTGTTAATCATAATATACACCGCACATCAATAATAATAAGATGGAATTATTTGGTTCCTAACCCTGAACCACTTGTGAGGGGAGAAAATAATATACTTTCGTATATAAAGTATATCAAACTGATATATATAACTTTGTTCTCATAAGCAATAGTTTAGCTATTAAGTGGAGGCACTCAATAAATTATTTTGCTAAACCAACTGTGATGTAAACCAACTTATCAAGAAGAACTATCTTGAATAAAAAATCTGGAAATTATGCTCTATATTAAATTATTGAGCAAGTTACCTCGCAAACACCAGGTTGCGGGTCAATAATAATTGCACATGTAACCATCTCATAGATGCATCTTATGTGGTATACATGGCAGGTGAATGAGCCCATATTCATCTTTGATATTTCCAGCATTCATGGGATTCAATCCCAATTTTAATTGGTCTATTAATTAATGAGAACAAGCAATGTAAGAGAATTCGTATAGAACTTTCTAGTTCTTTAATATTTACCCATGTGAATTCTCTTTTATTTTTGCACACCATACTTGAATTAACATGGCTAAACCAAGTATGCCAACTGGATAAATTATCAATATTGATAAACTTCAGGTTTACACCATGATGTGTGCAATTATGAATAAACTCCAAGTTTATTATGATAAGGGTTTTTATATCAATAAATATCCATTTCATTGTGGTATTCTTTTGTTTATGTAGTATAAATTGGAGAATAAAGCGAGTAGCTTTTCACATACATATTACCCCGCTACAAGATGTAGTAATAGAAGATATTAAATCTTTCCTTTATTTATAGTCTCAATATAATCAATCGCTTTCGCGTATACTTTGGAAACTGAATAAGTTTCTTTGAGACTTACTACAACACAATACCTTATTGGTAATTAATTGTGTTTCTCCAAAATAGTATAATTGGCTCTTGCAGAGTTCTCAATTAATTTTGTAGTACCACATATTCATCAACACCCATTCATGCCATAATAATGATATTATTTTCTTATATCATCTCAAACCTCCTTCTAGAGGTGAGTGTGGTATATACCACTAGCACGCTCATATTCTTCCAAAAATGAACATGTATTCTTAAATCAGATGTTGTCACACACATCATGAATAGACCATAATCATCTATATGTGCTTTATAAAATCTCATGTCAAATCGATGACAAGTATTTTCACAAGTGGGGGATTATTTTGAGAATCCTTATTATTCTCATTATCACAATGATGACGATTATAATTTCGTCTATTGCCACGTCCACATCCATTGATACATTCATAGTGATAATTTTGTCTTCTTTCAGACTTATCACATACTGTTATCACATTCTCTTAAGGGAATGAGAATGGAGCAAATTCAATGGGACGGGTTTCCACTTTTTGTGCCCATAATCATGCATAAATTTGATCATGGCAAGACATAGAAACTTTTACCACTTCAGGTGGTTATAATTTCTTACAAACTCCATTAGAGTTGTTATCAAAATTTATTGTCTTTGTATTTAAAATCAAATTATAGAATAAAAGAGAAAAATACGGTAAAATACTTACCTTAAATCCAGAATTTAATCATGAAGGAAGTTCATGGAATAATTGACAATCATTATGCTCAATCCCAAAGCTTCTACTCAATTGGTTAGAGTCTCGTGCTGATAACGTGTTATAAAATAATAAAAGAACAAGAGCAATATTGCAGAGAAAGAGAGAGAGGGAATTCTTATTGAATTTTGGGATGAATTACAATGGAATAGAACCCTCTATTTATAGGGAGAGGTTGACTTAGCCACCAAGTAATAAACCCTAAAATCTCTCTAAATATGGACATTCACCATAAATAGAATTCTATTTATAACAAGTTACACTTATTATAGTTTATTAGCTTACGACGTAATATTGAGAGATATTGGGGGAGGGGGGAGGTAGATGGGAGAGGGGGTTAGCTGATATGCGTGTGTATCGGTTGATCCTAAATTATTAATTTGTATATAATTGATAATTTATATATTTAAAAATAATAAAGTGATAACCTCTATAATAAAATATAACTAAATAGGTAAAAGGCTCTTTGTTTACTCATAAAATCGGATAACAATTAAACTTGTAAGTAGTTTAAGTGTTAGGAGTTGTCCTGATTTTTTTACCATACTAGTAGTCGTACCCCCGCGATGTGCGATCAGTATTAAAAATATTAATTAAATTAAATTATGATCGGGCTTGTTTGATCCTATTAGATTGTATTGCTTTAATAAAATTCAATTGTCATCTTACTTGTCAACGATATACCCAATAATGAAATCTCTATTAAATCAAAGGTACTTATATAGTTAGTAAATAACTTTTTTGTTCTATATTTTATTTATTATATTAACCAATATTTAATATTCGCTTTCTTTTTGTAATATATGAGAAGATTAATAATTTATTACTGTTGAAATATTTTTTTTAGTTTAAATTTTATTCTATTGTTCTTAATAATATTATCTAAATTTTAATGAACAAAATCTCTATTAAACTAACGGGACTTATACAAGGAGCACATTGAATAACGTTTTTGTTATGTATTTTTCTTTATTATCTCATCTAACATTTAATATTATTTCATTGTTAATAGAAAGTTTTATTAGCATATTACTTTATTAAATATTTTTCTCTGAAAGTTTTTTTATGTCTTTATTTTCGTTTTATTTATTTTAAAATAATTTTAAAACTCCAACTTGAAACTAATCCCCAATTTGAATTGGTAATTTATTATTTTTT